TACTCTCTCTCTCTCTCTCTCTCTCTCTCTCTCTCTCTCTCTCTCTCTCTCTCTCTCTCTCTCTCTTCTCTCCCTCTTTCTCTCCCTCTTTATTGAGTGACTTCGAACGATTAACACCGAGGCCGATCGGTCGAGTGACGTCGATGAGGCTTCCGGCGATGATGATATAATTGCGCCGGTTATTTCAAGTCACTTCGTCGCGAACCCGTGGTAGCACGGTGATTTCGAAACGATAGCTATCGAAGTTATGCGGGCTGATTGCAATTACGATCGCGCATCACAAACGGGCTTTCGTACGTACGCCGAAAGCTTCGCCGATCAGCGGCGACGAGCGCGTATCGCGCATATTATAACTGCACCGCGTTCATAACGTGTCCCATTTACGGCACTAATCACGGCCACACTCGGACCGCACGTAGACGCAACACGCAGTATCACTGTACCCGTTTCGGTTATGATTTTACTATTATCGGATCGTAGCGCGGAGAGTCAATCCCGCAGCACTTCGTTAAAACGATCTTATCGTTTAACGAAACGCGCACAATGATCATTTTACAAACAAGCGGCGCGATAACGCTGCAGGATAAAGATATAAACGAAAGGCATTAAACGTTTTGCTTTCAGCAATTGGATTATCGCTCGATAATGCGAAAAAACGTGGCGATAACGAATATTCAGTGTCGCAAAGCAAGCTATCGTTTGTAGAATATAGAATTATTTGTTTCATCGTATTTAGAACTGACGTCATTCGTGAATAAATAAGCGCACAACGTTAGAAATATAGATGTTACATAAAGAAAATATTTTCTTCTCGTGTCTCGCGAAGTCAGATATCTCCAGCTGTTCTGAATCGCAAGTTACGCTTTCGATACTCGGAAACCGTGAACAGATAGCAAAGACGGATAACCGATTCAAAATATGCGCGAGACCAGAAATCGAGATCTTTTCAACTCGCACTCGAGGCCCTCGAGCTTAGCCCCGGGACCAGCGATATTTTCGCGAGCCCGCCCCTATATTACCCCTCGTAAAACTTTGCTCTTATGTTCCGGCCAATCGATGCCGGAAAGTTTCGTGGGTGCATACGCCGACATCTATTTTCTACTGAAAAGTTGCAGTTCCTGAAGCGATTGATTATCTTGGTGTTTCACCTGATGTCGCTGTCTGTAGCCGTATACTTCAGACCCGCGGACATGGACGCCGAGTTGCTGCAATGGCCCGAGGAGATAACGGACATCATCCGCACCGTGGCGGAGTGGACCACCGTCCTGAGCACGGTGAATTACATCTTCGTGCAGCTGGGCGGCGAAATGATCAACGTCGGCCCGCTATCGTTCCTGAAGCAACTGGTAGGCTCGAATATTTTTTCCCGCCGCAGTGATTAGCAGGAGCGTTTCAGTGCTTGAGCTCGCGAGATCTCACTGGGACTTCTAATTTGAAAAATACATCGCGAAAGAGAAACAAAAGCTAATTCAACAAATTTAGCTTCTCTATTATTCAATGAAAGATATAAGAGTTTAGAAATATGGAGAATTAGAATTTGAGATTTTTTTGTTGAAAAAAAAAACGGAATAATTTTGAAAAAATCTATACAATTTTATAATTATTGTATATAAATTTGCACATAAAATTCAAGATGTAATTATAATGAAAACAATCCGAAGAATCAAGCATTTAATTTCGTAGGCCAAAAATAATCTTTTTTTTTCACATAATTGATTCTTTACACAATGAGTACAATTCAGCGGGCCTTTAAGCAAACTAAAACGTTCCTGCTTCTCATCACCGCTGTGTCGTTTTTGTTGTTTTTTCCGATCGCGAAATGTCCCGTTGTTTCGTGATAGTGCGCGATGTCGATACTCAACGGTGCAATTTCGGTGCGGCAATGCCGGCTAAGTGCAGCCGGTTGCGCAAATCCTGGGGCTAGTGAACTGTAACGGATCACGATAGATGCACCGAGGTATATTTCGCGGCTGGAGGAAGCTGTACGTTCGTGATACTAATCTTCCACGCATTAATGAGCCCGTGGAATAAGAGAAAGATGGGTCGGCGATTACATGTAACGGTACAGCGAGAGTGGTAGCGTTATTGACGATCGGCGCTCTTCCTATCAGTTTCTTGTCTTCGTTAACTTTATTAGCTTGAGATTGATTAAAAGCGCTATATCTTCCGAGATTTTTTATTAAACTGCTGACGGAAAGACAAGTTAATTCCTGTTTATCACAGGATTATAATAAATCAGATTTAATATCAAGTATTAAAAAAACGATATAATTAGAAAACGTTCATAAAAGAAACTTTTTTTTTATAGAATTACAAAAATATATTTTTATAAAGGGCGCAGTAAATGTGTCCTTCGCTCTTAAAATATTATGATTGAGTAATTTGATTGTTTCACGCGTGATATCACATTACAGCTGGATATCGCAGAAAAATAAAATCTCAGAAAAGACACTGTCAGTGGCGAATGATTGATCACGTTAAAAGCATTTTTGGCAGAGTCGATATTTTGGTATATGTCCTCAATCGTAAAGATGGATTCACCGGTGAAATAAAAACTTAATTGTGCGCCAGCTTTTAATTAAAGTGTTGTCTTCATCGCTTTTCTTTTCTTTTTTTGGAAGAAATAATAGCTATGCGTCGTGTAGTACATAAATATACGATACGGAATTTACGTCATCCATTTTTTTTTCGATCAGAAATTTTCGCGAGAATCGTAAAAATGTAGAAAATATCGGCGCATTACTGCGTCTATCGGTTATCTATCCACATCTCTATCAATTAGAAGAGAATGTACGTATACATATTGTTGGTTATTGCTTGTGTCGGATCAATAGCACATATACGCATACACTCCGTTCCAATCGGAACGACTAAACTATATCGTTGCATTATTAAACGCGTGTCCCATCCCGAGCGTCCGTTTCGATTCGCGGGTAATTAATACCGGCGACGATTCAAAAACGTTAACGTGCACCAGCCCACAAGTCTCGTCGTCGCATAATGTATAATTTACCCAATTTCGACAGACAAAAATATTTTATCTGATTGTATGTAAATATAAACATAATGCTCTCAATTTCATATAATAATTTCATGATATAATTATAATATCATATCGCAATCGAGTTTTTTTTTTAAATAATATAAAAATTTAAAGTATTACATATATACGCGTCTTGTTCTGTTTTTAGAATAAATTTATTGATTTATTTTATTCTTTTGAGTATTTCCAGATTTATGTGAAACCGAATAATCTTGAAACCAAAAGGAGTTGCAGAATTTGTGCACAATCAGATAAAATATTTTTATCCTACGTACACATACATATTGGGGAAATATCACACTCTGTGCGTCGTCGCCGTGACGACACGGTTGTTACAGGGAAGTATCGAAATTGCACGAAAATATCGATTCCCCTGCGGACGTTCCTGAAACGTTGCAAGAGTGCATGCGGCTGCACTAACGTTCCGCCTGCGCGCATTTGCATTTCAGAGCCACGAACCGGCCAAGTTGATATTCGTGATCAGCAATCTGCTCATTCTCGCGTGCATTCCATGTCGTATCGCCGGCAATCGGCACGCGGAGGATGCGATACTGGTGTTCGCTGTGCCCGGCTCGTGGTTTCTTCTCATGTTTTTCGCCGGGTAAGTAATATACAAGAGGAAACGCGGGACGCGCAGCGAGACGCGCAGAGAGGCGGCTGCGAAATTAAAGTGGTTGCAATTTACTGGTGCAACGCGACCAGGTCACACTTGTTACTACGCTGCCACCCGTTTGTTTTACGCATCATTTTAGCGCCACCACCACAGACAACATGTAACCCGACGACGTGTTTACAGCCGCTTGTATACATTCGCTCGCAATTTGTTCGTCTGAATACCGAATGAATCTTTTCTTCCATAACGTTTCGGATATAATTTACCGCCCGCCGTATCTCAAAATTACACACGGGCGAAAAATAATCATGATTGGTTATTTTTATATTAATTATTCTTCGTAAAAAAAAGGGTAAGGGCTAAATATGGCAGATTGGCGAGGGAGAAAAAAAACATCGCGGCATCGAAGCTGAAAAAACGTACTTCTATTTTTATGAAAGGATATATTTTCCGCACTGCACATGTTATTTTAACGAAACGCGGCATAAAGAATGTTTAGTGTTAGACGCATACACATATAAAGTTGTGGAAGTTTTTCTTTCTTTTAATAAATAAACTAGATTATTTAACAATTTTCTTGAAATATTTGCATTCATATAATATTGTATAATTTAAAGTTCCGCTAAAAAATTTAAAGTTCATAAAGTTCATAAATATGAATATTTTTCTAAGCAACTTAAACATCATCATAAATCATCATAACTCATAACATAAAATTATTACTTGCATTCTGCTGGCAGGATTTCCCGCTACGACGGAAAACTTCCACAAGTCGTGAATCTGTTTCCTCCGTCTGTTACGCGAACGACACGCTTCTAACAAACGTTTCCTTGCTTAACGACACTTTGACGAATGTCGACGCCTCCTGTCGAACGTATTCCCGTGAAGAATGGGACAAATGGTTTATCGAGAGGCGAGGACGTGCATTCGCATTGTGCTTATATGTTCCTAATACGTGATATCAAAGCTACGTGACCGACATCGGGAGTGGCACGGTCGGATTGCAGCTGCTCCTTTCGGCAAACTTCTCGGTTTGCTCCGCTGCAGTCCAACTAAACATTACTAAGATGCCATATTTCGGTGGATATGTGAAGTGTCAAATAAGTGCCAAACGGTTGCTTACCGCTTTCATTTTCCCGCAAGTCAAATAACAATTATTTGCACCGGCATTATCCTTTGACGTCATCAAATTTTTCTAACAAAAAAATTTCAGAAACGAGTTTTTATTTCCTAATATTTTCTATGAGTGAAATTATTATTAATTCAAATTATTATTATCGACGTTTTATTAAATTTATTGACAATGGCGTCTTTGTAATATTTATGGTATATTCGAAAATGTAATATGTAATCTTCAATAATTCTAAGAACTGAAGCTTCGCGCAGTTACCAAACGCATGAAGTATCAACGATCAAGTGGGGAACATTGTGTGGGCTCTTATTCCCTTTCCTGTACCCTCCAGCTGCGCCTAAGGATGCCTGAGAGCTAGCTATAAGGTACACTGAAGACTTCTGTGGAACTCTGTGCAGGCGCAAAGAGTGTATATTGAATTTAAACAGACGTAAAATGGCGGCTCGTAAATGGTACATCGTAAAGCACTTAGGCCGTAACTTCAGAGGCGGTCGTAGCGGCACTCCCGTTAAATTTTGTGCGAAATTAATCTCAGGCGTGACTGTGGCTTATTGCCAAGCGAACGACAGCCGTGATGGAGGACAAGAAACACCATGGCACCGAGTGCGCCCCTTTGAGGAATTACTGCACATATACGTACATACTTAAACGAAGTGACGTCGAGGATCTAAAGAGGACTCTGATGGACAGTAATTACGCGCCGGAGAATATCGCGTCGCTCTTACTACGTCGCGCCGCTCTAAAATAAATAAGATCTATTGTACTTCACGAAGACCTGGTAACATATTGAGCTCAACATATTGAACTCTTTACTTCCGAAGTTTTGGACCTTACGGCGATTGTATTGAGTTATAGCCCCAAAAACACAAAATCATAATTTTTCCTCGCGATATTACTCATTGTTCCATATTTCATTTTTTACGTCTAATACGTTTAAACATTTCAAGTGCCATAAAATATACATTTCTCGAAACGACAGCATTTATTCTTAGATATAGTTAAAGATACTGCTTAGTTATACGCGTACAAATACGAATCGAACGGTAAATCGTTATTTATATACATCTGGCAAGACAATATACTATGTATAACGGTCTAGATATTAAAATATTTTTAAATTTGAGATAAAAAACAATATTTTAAACTAGTTATTTCAAGGTTCTTTTTTCACAGTCACAGTCGGATATTGATTATAGAAGCAATAATCGGAAATACTTCGTTTATAATCTATCAGCGCGATGCCGATACGATGGCTCATCTGGTATTAATCCGGTATAATTACCGGAGCAGCTGGAGGGGGAGGATGAAAAAAGAAGAGTACGACGCGCCCCTCTCCCTCTCGAACTTCACTGAAAGTAGCGAGGAGGACTCGCACAGCGGAAACTTGTTTGCCGAGCGGAAGTCGGCGTCCCTATTGATTTTCCCGGGACAACGTATACGCGATACCCGGGACAACGACGTTATATCCCTCATCCAAGTTGCATCGCTTATACCGCGCGCTTACTATATCGGGGGCGCTACACAGAGATGTGTCTTTTCTATCGCGGCTGTACTCTCCCTTGAACTTACCGCGAGAAAAAGGCCGAAGATTTATGAGCGCCGGTAACCCTTGACAAGATAAGGTCACTCATCGATTAGCGGAAGAGGATAGGATCGACCGACGACGACGACGATGACGTTGAAGTTAATGGGGACTCGATCGATGCTTTCTCTTCCGCCGTTATTCGTCGATCACGCCGTTCATTCGTTCGTTCGTTCGTTCGTTCGTTCGTTCGTTCGTTCGTTCGTTCGTTCATTTGTTCGTTCGTTCGGAGAGCCGCGCGAGTCTCTTCAATCTTAATCCCGACCGAATGACGAATCTAAAAAATTTGTCGGCCTGTCGATAGGCGTGAATAAAGTATTGGGATTAAAAAGCTTTTGTTTTACGTTGTCCGTTTCTCCGTCCGATGACGACGTCGAGTTTAATCGCTCGAATCCTACGATTTTGATTCAAGTTCCGGCTCCGCGGCCCCATTGTGATAACGTTCGCATATGATACGCCGGATACCGCGAGCTTCGGATTACAAATAGTTTTGATTTTATCGATGCGTATTGTTAGCACATTGTAATCGTATAGCATTGAACACAAATGTGTGATCCTCAAAGCGTAAAAAAATAAAAAAAAGACTAAAAGGTTCAGCATAACAAATGGTTAAATGGTTTTTAAATGTTTAAAATAATTAATTTCAATTTAATTTTTTTATTACAAGCGTGCACGTAATCCTTTAATTATTTTAATCCTATGCAGTCGAGTATTATTGCGATAGATTCTACAAAATTATGTATGATAATTCCGTTCATATTTTTTTAACTCGGCCAAAATCAAAGTTAGAATTTTTTTATACATTACATGTTTCATATTTCTTTAAAATAATATGTCCATGTGTTTTATACAAATTCTGTCTGCATTGAGCAATATTGATAATGCTGAAATAAATCTCGCCAGTAAATTGCTTCAATGATGACAAGATGTAATACGTTAATACTTTATTGGAAGTCTGCTTTATATTAGTAGTCGCGATTCCAACTTTGCGATAACGAAAGACTCGTAACTTACTTATGTTGGGTATTACAAAGTTAATGCAATCAGTAATACGCTAACTTAAAATGAAATTTTCTCTCGCTGTGACTATAGAAGTATCGGCAAAAAGACCTTTAAACAATTTAAATGTTCTACATATGGTATATAATGCATTTTCTCTTTTTTAACATAATTTTATAATTTTCATGACGTTATCGAACTTTATGTGCACGTCTATGTTACGAATAATCTAGATTATCGTTTTTAACAGCTTTTAATAGTGAAAAATTATAAATCAGCATACTTTCTTCCACAATATATAATTTATAATACTTAAAATCGGTTAAAAACTTTGCACGAGAAATAATATAAAAGAAAATGTCTATATAAGCACATTATCGATTATTTTAGATTAATCAATAACGTATTTAAATTTCTCTCCGCTATGTAGAGTTATTAGCATTTAATTATTTTACTCGCCATAAATTTGAGCTGCGTGTAAGAAGAGTGGTTTACATATGCACGCCGAATTGTTGCACAAGCACTTTTCGTGCCTGACCTATTCGTGTTATCGCGGCTACTGGAAACGCGATAACGTGCGATACACTGAATTCTGATATCAAGTGTTCAAAGCCATGCACTTTTTAACTCGTTAACCGAACATTTCGTAATCAAAAGCATTTTCTATATGTGTATGATTCAATATTGATAAATACAAGTGATATCACCTCTTTGGATTATTTCATAGAAATATAATACTATAAAATTAATAATTATTCCTGCCTATTCAAAAGTTATGAGAGCGAGCTCAACGATAATTCCGAACAGTTTGTTAAAACGGTATTAAGCTTAATTACGCATACTGCAAAGAAGATATATATATATCAATTTATTTACGGAATGATGATATTTCAATTTAACTTTGGCGATTGGCATGTGCGAGCTAAAAGACACACCATTTTGGTGGATTAGAGGGATGCAATTATAATGTGTCCCGCATGTATCACGTCGGCAAATGTTTTACGATGGATTTTGTATGCATAATATTACGCGTATTCGTGTCACAGGATTGAAATCGATGTCGATGACGTTAATAGACTGATTTACTCCAGACTTTGATGCGCGAATGCCGCTGAATGAAACGCGACACCTCATTCACGTAATAGCGATGATAATTTTGTCGGCATCGTTAATATATGAGGGGTCACGATTTCGAACCAATATGAACTACAGAACAGAGCTGACAAATTTTCCAATCCTTTTTTCGTTATTTCATCATCCGATTAAGCATCATGGAATTGCTACTTTCACATATACTTTATATACTCATTTATTATGTGCGTTCTATATATAATATCATTTTGACAGAGCTATTCGACTGACTGGTCCATTCGTCACGATGGTGTACAGCATGATCACGGGAGATATGCTGACCTTCGGCATCATCTATTCGATCATGCTCTTCGGATTCTCCCAATCGTTTTACTTTCTCTACACAGGATTCCCAGGCGTGAATTCATCCCTCTACCATTCCTATCCTTCGACCTGGATGGCGCTGTTTCAGATAACCCTCGGCGATTATAACGTAAGCTTGTCATAAATTACCGCTTTATTGGCACGATACGGCAGTTTCTACTGTGAGCCCTTATCTTGCACGCGTATGCACGCATGTACACCCTCCTATTTTTCCCTTTTTCCCATCTACTCTGCACTCTGGCATGGAAAACGTGTCCCCGATCTGTCTATATTTGCAAAAATAATCTGTCCGTCCGCATTGAGCAAATTTATCTGTCCTATCTTATCTAATCGACTTTCAAATAAATTTTAGACATTTTGGAGGGTCGTACGAAGCATTAGTTTAATTGTTATACGTCAAAGTCGCGATTAAATGTCACGCGAGCGTTTACATCACTCCAAACATTTTTTCCAGCCGCCGATGCGTCAGGATATGCGGCCATGAATCTTGAATTTCAATCACGGACATTTCCACGTCGCGCAAAATACACTGCAATATGGTTTCCTGACGAAATTAAAGATTTAGCGCACTGGTCGCGCGCGTGTCCGCATGAACGGATAGCGGGTGCGTAAAATACCGCCTGTCCGGTAAAAATCATTGCTCGGTTTTCGCAGTTCGTATAACGATTAACTCGTTGCACTGAATTAAAAGGGGGGGGGGGCAACTGGTGTATGGAAAATACGAGTTTCCGTTTGAAAATTCTACATGTTTTCGTTGCCGCACGGCGGGCACGCAACATCGGGCAATGACCGCTTATTTATTAGCGTCCGCGTATAATTGTCCCACAACGATTTACCGATGCTGCGTTTACCTCATTGTATTTATCCGTATGCATTACAGTACTCGGATCTGAATAACACGACTTATCCGAACTTGAGCAAGACCGTCTTTGTGATTTTCATGGTGCTCGTGCCGATACTGCTGCTCAACATGTTGATCGCCATGATGGGTAATACATACGCGCACGTTATCGAGCAGAGCGAGAAGGAATTCGTAAAGCAGGTTGGTATTAAAATAATTTTCTTAACTTATTATCCAAAAAAAGCTTTTTTAGCAAGCAAAAATAAATTATAAAGTACATGTATATGTCAAATTGAAAGCAGAATTCTATTGATTTTTAATATGAAATCAATTCTTTAATATAAAATAAAAATAAAAATATATAATATATATAGCTTTATATGTATATGTATAATATATATATAGCTTAATCATTTTAAACAAAAATTGCTTCGCGATATTAATTATAATAATATAGATACAATTGGATCACATAAATAAACGCCATAAATATAACCTGGAGCTTAATTGTTAATTTTAGTTCTTTATCAATCTTTTATGTTAAGTGGGCAAAAATAGTGGTGTCTCTGGAACGCGCGGTATCGCAAAAAGATGCTCACAATTATCTACAAGAATACAGTATCAAACTGGGACCCGGTGACGATCCTAACAATCCCGCATCGGAGCAGAGAGGCGTGCTAATTATTAAGAGTAAATCGAAAACCAAAGCGAAGCAGCGTAAAGGCGCCGTAGCTAACTGGAAGGTGATTTATTTACTTATATTTTTTTTTGTGCGTATACGCGCGCCAGCGGCGATGCGTATCCAAAGATTTATTCTGCGCCCGTACATCAAGCGTCAGAATTTATTTATTGACTTTCCATTCGAGTGACGCGATTTCTGATATCGGCTCTCATAAAACGCAGCAAATTTTGCTATGCTGTAGTAAATTTCATCAGAATAATATAATCATGCAAAATATTGGTTCTAAGACTGGTCAAAAATTAATGACCTCCATAATTTATCCAAGTCGCGGATCTTTTCTAACATATCCACGAAATAGGACATTTTCATTGATCCTATTTAAATATTACTGATGCTATTTAAAGGAACGAAATATTGTTTATAAATATGCAATGGCTACTAAAGTCATTTCTTAAACATCTAGTTTCGCATAAAAATACTGCAACGTGAGTGACACCCATTGACGTGCACGACGGGTCGTTATAATTTTATCACTTCGCTTCATGTATCGTGCTTTTGCAGCGAGTCGGAAAAGTCACGATAAACGAGCTGAGAAAACGAGGTATGACTGGCGAGCAACTCCGACGTATAATGTGGGGTCGCGCGTCCTTCTCCACTCCTGTGCGAGTCAGGTAATGATACTTTCATCGCATCTCATCATACTTTTCATCGTATTTTTCCACGACTACCCGTTGTTTTATTACCCTTAGAGTAATTTCAAAATTTTCATGTTGTCTCTTCATTGCCTTATTGCAACATATCTACTACATTCTAATATTCTACGTAATAATATACTTGTTCATTTTTATTATAATTGTATATCACTATATATGTGTTCAATTATATTACTCCATTATAAAAAATTAAAAAAATTTCTTATTATTACATTTTTATTATTTTAAACGCGCGATAAGAACGAGCAAATCTGTTTCAATTATTCGCTAACATGTCTCGACCGTTTCCACGTAATTTGTAACTCGCGGTGCATAAATTTACGATCGCCCTTGCGGCGAATGACTCACTGTCAGAGAAACAGTACCCGGACGATACTTTTTATCACCTCATAATTCCGCCGAGCCTGCCACCTGCAATCCGGACATAGCTAACGTCGCCAGCGTCTAGAAACATCGGAGACCTTCACGAATTGGCTGTGCTTCCACGTAACGAACGCGTAACAGCAGCGCGAACGTGACTATATCTCGATTCTATTAAATATTTATGAAGCAACGGCGCAATGCGTTACATAATACTTGTGTAGCAGGATGTAAAGTGAACAGGTCGTACATCTAACAAAGAATCAGTCATTTCCCAGCAGCATCAATCACTCAATATTTTGTAAAATTAATGACAAGATAAATGCAATCTCAAATCTGTTTTTTTCATTATTAATTTAATTTTGTTAATTCATGCTCTCTCTCTCTCTCTCTCTCTCTCTCTCTCTCTCTCTCTCTCTCTTTCATTCTGTGATCTTAGATCACGTATATTTCATAATCTCATGTAATATTAATGAGATTTATTACCGATATGTATAATCTCTATTCATCTATCTTATTAATTAATTACGCTTAAGAAGTGAATATTATTCATTATAATGTTCCTGATAATAGCTCTGAATGGAGCTCTGAACGTGTGACGACAGATTTCGCATGATATATCAATCCATTTGTGGAACATTGTGGCTGCGCAATAATTTCACGTACATTACAGTCCGAATGCCGGGCAACCGCAAGTGTCGGCAGTTACTGCAGGTTTTGGTGATGCGCTAACCGCAGCTTTGGACGTAATGGCCTTTGCACATGACTTTGACTTATCCACCGCGACGGAGGGTATACCCACTAATATCGACGCAAAGCAGACGAAGACGACGCAGCCGAAAGCCGCTCCTAACGACCATCAGACGAAAACGATCCAAAATAATCCGGAGACGGTGACAAGTATCCAACCGCATAAACAACCCATCGGGGAGGCAGCTAAATTATCAGGTCTCACGGATTTAATCGATAAATCCTGTGATCCCGTGAAGGACGTGGAAGCGATGAACTTGAAGAATACGAATCGTACGTATAGATATGCAACTTTTACTTTATTTCCATAAATAATATTCTAATAAGAGCAAATTATAAAAATATGAAACATGAATCCTAAATTTGATTCCGTGTTTAAAAGGATTAAATGATGTATTAAATATAGGAACGAAAGCGCTCGAAGAAGCTGCGGTGGATCCATTTCTGGAGCTCGCCATCGCCTCCGAGACTACGGCAGATTACGAAACTCTACTGCAAATAGCGAAGTCCGCCCTGGCCACTAGCGAAGCTTCGATGAAAACGACCACGGTCGACACGGTCGACCCACAAATTCTGGCACATTTCGCCATGATCGCCCCGCCGATTACTGAGAAATCTACGATCGTCAAAAAGCAATACTTTGTGGAATCCAGCGATAACGAGCTCGGTGGTAAATAAAAAGTTATCAAAAAATGGTTAATAATTCAGTTTTCAGATGGTTAAATATTTAAATTTTGCCTCGAATAACAGTTTTAATTTAAACATTTTTTATTAAATGTATTTAATAAATATTAGCTATATCTATACTTGTTTTAAAGTTGTTCATGATACTATCTATAAATTTTTATAACAATTCAATTATTTTTCTAATATTTCTATAAATTTCTATTATCAGAGATTGTATCAATTATTTACAGGCAATAATTTACTCGGTACCGAAGCTCGTCTTCGGAGAATAAAATCGGCAAACAACAGATTCATCACTACATCGGATAAGTCACGCCGCGATGATGATGACAACAGTTCCACAACATCCACTACGTCTATCGAGCAAAGCCAGCGATATCGACCGCTATTGAATGATCCGGAAGAGAGACTGACGAACCGTATCGAGAGTGAAGGACGAAAGACTTCCATCGGGACAATTAAGCCGGAGGTCAAGCAGAACGGCAGTATTCCCGCCAAGCCGTCGGATAAAGTCCAGAAACGTCGACCGAAAACAGCCAAGAACAGGTAACAGCGTGTGACGCATGGCCGATGACAAATCGCGACATTTTCCGATAATTCCGCAATAAATCACATATTCGAAAAATGGTGAAGTTAGACACCGAAATTTTTTACATTTGCGAGAAAAAAATTAAACGCACTTTAATATACCTCGCAGTTTTCCACAATTAAACTAAAAACGAGAATTATTTTTTTAACGCTAAAAATAAACAGTTCTATATAAAAAAAAAAAAATATTTATTGTCCCCTGAAAATACAAGTGAGTTAAAATCCCATTTAATCTCCGTTGTTTAAAAAAAGATTCTGTTCAACGAATACATTACCTTTTATACCAATCAGACGTATCTCGTATGAAACAGAAAGTCGATATTTATTGAACAGTGTTGATAACTAACCGCGATAGAGCAGACAGTAGTGTTTGAGGCTTCCGAGTTTATAACAATCAACATGACGTGTTAACTGACACGATTTTAATGACACATTAATTAAATTCCATCTACTAATCACCTCGTATCATTGGCTCTATACCGAGTGTCCCGAAATTATGTATCACAAATTTTTATACAGATCGATATTTCCTCGATAAAATTATCATCGTTGCATTTTATAATTTCAGAAAAAAAATATGTGATAAAAATTATATATATGTTTACTTGAAAAGTTTCACTATAACAGAAATAATTTGACATTTGATTGCAAAAATCTGCGATGCTAAAAGTTAAAAATATGCGATAATTAATGACCTTCCACTTTTATCTCTAAGCAGATTAAAGAATTTATAGTTTAAACATCCGGTAGCGTCTTCTATAAAACGATATCCCGATTGACTGCTTTTCTAATCAGCTCGTATTTCTTTTTACGACGCATATACAGAGTATCGCCTAAGGAAATAGAAGTGCCAGAAGGGAGGAGGGAATCGATTGAGCGGAATAAGGCGGACTCGCCGCCGACATCGCCCTCGGATCCGCTCGAGCCGTGGAGCACGCGTGGCATTACTGACATGAACACGATATTGGCTTGGCGGGAGAACGCACCGGACAGTCCATAATATGATTTTATGACATTTCGCGCTGTCTCCGCGTTCTACACCGATCACAACACCGATGCCGCATCGACATCGTGAGGTCACGCACGTGGATAGTCGCGCATGAAGAATCTCGCTCAAACAAGGAGCCGTTTATTCCGCAGATGCATGAGTCTAGTTTTAAAAATTCTAAGATAATATATGCGACGGTTTTATGTATCTTATTCAACTCCGACGCGTAATTAAATTTTTATTTCATCTAGGATTTACGCTACGATTAAGGAATAATTAGAAAATTGAATGTGTGATTACTACTTTGTAAATAAGTGTACCTAATAATTAAAATATAACATTAATTGTCAACATCTTTTTTTACACATGTAGACGGTTGGCTTTGTTATTTCTTTTTTCCAAGCGAACTTTGAAACGCAAATTAGTGCGGCATAAATTAGTTTTTGGCTATACCGTGTGACGCTTAATGTAAAAAAATGCTTGACCTTTTACGAGGAGTGTATAAGCTCGAGTTAAACAGTTTGTAAGAGTACACAATCGATTCAAACCGATTTGCATACATAGCGGTATTGTGTGTATAGGTACTTGTTAATATATATGGGAATTACTCAATCTAACTCGGCGCATACCTCATTATAGGAAACACGCCGCCAAGTAACAGGCTTCCGTATGATAATTATAAAAGCAAACACACATGCCAGGGACCAAATGATGTTAACTCACCGTTACGTAATTTCTGGAGGGGTTGCATGATGAGAAATTTTCACGCACATATATGTATATACCTATTAAAATGAGTTACTAAGGAAATTCTCAAAGATATGGCGTGGCTAGGTAGTGCAGACAACATACTTTTGCGCTTTAGAAGATATTCCAACTTTGAAGAAGATTTCACATCGGAGATTTTACTCTTACAAGATTTGCCAATTATGCAATTAAAACATTCAGAGCAAGTTATAAACTGCAATATCGTGTGACGGTAGTTATTTCCCACTGGCAAATACAATTATTAACTCATCTCTTATCGATTTTCTCTTTTTCTTATCAAATTTTTTGCTGTAGTTCACATTTTTAATATTGTATAATGACATCTTAAAATCGAAAGAAATTGTCACGAAATATATGGAGAAATGTATCGAGATATTTATTCCTGTGTAAGTATCTGTGTCTACAAACGCTATTTGTATACAAAATGTGTATATAAAATAAACTATTTTTAAGCCAACAATGATTACTTTTTAATACCTTAAATTAATTTTATTTTCTTCTACGTTTCATTATCCATATGCCAATTTTAGCTTTAATCAAAATATTTGACATGCCATTACCCAGAAATGTAAATTGCATTACTGACAAAACAATCAACCCTTGCAAAATTGAGTTGTCGCATATGCATACTGTTTTACGTTAAAACGTTAAGTAAATTTACCGTGTCGTTAAACACGTCATACAGTCAGTACTTTCAAAATTCGTGCCTTTTCGTTCCACATGCGTGACAATGTTATATTTTATATTTATTTATTTAATTGCCTCAGAGAGAGAGAGAGAGAAAGAGAAAGAAAGAGAAAACCTAGAAATATTGGCCATTTAAGGTAAAAATTGTTCAGACAAATGAATACAAAAATATTACGCGAAAATCGAGAAACGAGCACATGGATTTTCGAAATCTTGAATGGCTCTCGCTACAGCTACACGATATGTTAGTTTCGTCGACAATCTCCGTCTATTGTCTCGATATAGCGGCGAAAGGAGTTGGAGAGAAGGCGAAATGTTCGGCGGTCTCGGAAACGCGACAGAACTTGAGAAGTTCTTACCTCCCGCGCGTATTGAAACAGTAATGATATGAGAGACGCGGCAGCGGCTACGATGCCCGAAATGAAAACACGTGCCGCACACGGCACGGGTGAGACAACGAACTTGCCGTACAAGCACGTTTACACGCTATAACATCTCCCGCGGGGAAACGATCGAACAAACAAATTTCAAACCCGCCGCTCCACGCCAGAAATTCACCGTGATATTACTATCGAGAGTTTTATAAATATCGCACTTAGGAGAGGAAAAATACGCGGTGTGCGCACCGCAAAATTATTCTACGAATTGTACTTTATAAACGGGAGAACCGTTTATATATTTTATATCCTTTTGTATCTTTTCACCCTTCTTCTTGTCTTAATATAAATTAATGTCCGATTTATATTCCATTCTTTTATCCTTATTAAAAATGCTGTGATAAATAATATAGAAAATGTTCTAACTAACTCTCCGATTGATTTTAAAATAATCTCACACTCTGATTTATTGCGAGCGTTAAACATAATAAAATATATATGAATATAAATTCCAAAATATTAGAAACTGTTTTTCGATTGTTTATATTTCGTCTCGTGAAAATTGTTCGATAATTATTCAAAAATGCTTTGAGAGGCGGAAAAATGTATTTAACTTTAGGTACAAATTAAAGTTTGAAAGCCTAACACATCACAATAGGCTTTGCATTATGTTAAAAAAATGCTTATTTAAATTTTCAGAGAGTTAAGATATAAATTTATTACTGCATGTTGGAGATATGGAAGAGTTTTATTTGCAGTTCAAGAGCAACAAGTTTAAATCCTGTTTGCTTCGATATGCAAACAAGCGAATGTTGAAGCGATTTGAACGGGGCGGCTGCGTGTGTTATTCCTTTTACAATAAT